CAAACATTCACAGAATTTATTTAAAATTATACATTTGTAAAATTGAATAATAAAATTGAAAAAATATTTTGATTTATTGTTTTTATATTAATTTTTTCAAATTTACTTGTATAATCACAAAAAATAATTGAATCAAACCAAAAATTTTTTTGCATGAAAGCTTGCTAAATTCGTTTTTTTTTTTGATTAAAAAGAAATACTAAAACAGAAACAAAATTAATAACAATTATATTATTATGAATGTAGCGCGTTATAACTTGTAACCTTCGTTATATCAAGTAATTCTTTTAGGGCAACGTATTCGCCAGTTCCATATGCGTAAATATCCACGTTACTAATTCGTTGTCTTATGTAATCTGCCATATCTGTATCTTTAGGATAATCATGGGTTCGACCATCTGATAACAAATAAATTATTTTTGGCACATGTGAAGGTCTCATACCCTAAAAATCCTATAACTTTATTTAAATTTTTTTAGTCAAAAATAGTAAAGCGTAATGTATAACAAATTAACGGTATCACACGATGGTTAGTATATACTGTATAATAAAATAGCATTTTTGTACAAATCAAAAGAATATTATAGAATTTATTTCTGTAATCATTAAAAATATGACCAACAAAAGTGTAGCATTTGAATCGTAAAGTTCATCTTATGCGTACTTTTCAAATTATATTGAATACTAAAAAACTTTTCTAATAATTGCAAAAAATTTTAATTTTATTTAAATCAGATGATTAGATTAATTCTATATAAGATTTTAAGATGTCTGTTTTGAAAACTTTGAAGAGTGTTGCAATATTTTTTTATAATAAAAAATAGTTGTTTGAAGTTGAATTTAAATGAAATCTGATAATGCATTATGCAAATTACATTATCCTCATTCATGATATTGAGCGTGTATTCTAATGCATCGCCAATTCTTGTGATTCCTGACACATGCCTGAGTACATCGAGAGCATCAAGAATCTCATCACGTTTTTGGAACTTCAAAAAATTAAATTCCAAATGTTGCACTCCACTGAAATATTGATTTCTGATAATTTTTGCCAAAAAAATATGCAAATTTTGAAAGTGTTATATTGAAGAAAAAAAATATAAATAATTTTTTTACTGTAAAAATTTAGTTGCATAAGTTTTGTACTTATTAATCTATCAAATATGCAAATATATTATTCTAAATTACAATGTATTATAGCTAAAATTATAAGAAATCGTGAGAATTACCTGAATTGTATAAGCATGACCCGCGTAGCGAACTCCCCAATAGTTACATGATTAACAATTCGACGTATAACGTTAATTTCATCTTGAAATCTGTTTTTCAAGGAACCCGAGCTATCAAGTAAGAAGACCAAATCTAGTGGATCTGCTTGCACAATGCATCGTGCTGAAATTTGTTATCTCAAAATTGTACATTTCAAAATATAAAGTATAAAGTGAAAAAATTCAATTTACTTCATTCCCAATTGACATTTTTAAATAATATTTCAAACAAACATTTTTTTAGTTAAGTTCTAATTAATATTCATAGCATTTACAGTCATTTAATTACAGCTCTACTCTAATTATAATACTTAATTATGCTAATTATAATATTAATTATAATATTTTAAAACAATAAGTTGATAAATAAATGAATTTGCAATAAAATAAAAAAGACTGATAAAAATGTAAATGCTTAATTATATTTTATTTAATTTATAAATGCATTCTGTACTGATACTTAAATTTCTTGCTATGCAATTGGAATTCCTATGAAATGGCATTTTTCTGTTTACTTGTAAATATTTTTGAAAATTATGTCAACTTTCATTTTGCATAGATTTTATAATGTCTTTGACACTTAGCTGAGTTCATTGTTATGAATCAAAGCTAATTTATAAATATTATCAGCATATCATTGCAAGCAAACCTGTTTTATAACTATAAATTACAGATATAATAACTTTAAACGATATGAAAATGAAAGCGCCGATGGCTGTTTTCATTAGTTGTTCTTCGATAAGATACGCACTTTCACCTTTGCAGGAGTCAGTTATATATTATTTGTGCTATTATTATGATTACAATTTCAAAATTATGAAGCATTGCTTATTCATACTTCAATTAAAATTTGTATTTGAATGATTTGTTGTATAAATTAAAAAATAAATATTACAGACTAAAATTAATTAATATTTAAATAAAGGCAATTGACAAAATCTTAGTAATTTTTTAACTGAATTTATTAAGTACTTAAGTGACTAAGTTATTTGATATGATTTCTTAACTAATGTCACACAAACAATACGTGAAAAATGTATAAATTTACATTAAAGAAATTAGTGATCACAAAGTATGCAAAAACAAACGTTGAATGCTTAAGGGCACGTGAACTATTTCAGGAGGAGCTAAACCATTATTGATTACTTTTATCGCGGTGCAAATAGCAGTGAATTGATAGATTAACAACCTAAATTGAGATTCACTCATCCTCCATCTGTCCAAAAATCCATACATTGCAGTAATGGTTGATCCACCAAATTCTGCAATTTTTCATCTATAAAGTTTCATATATTACGTAATATGCGTGAAATCTCACGTGCAGCAGAAAAAAATATAAAATTTAAAAATTTATAAAAATGAAAACGAAATCGCTTGAGTAAAAAAACAGCATAAATACAATTGCAGTATAATTGTTTAATGCTAATTTATATTTAATTGTTTGATTTTCTATAAGCGCTTACATCATTTTTTAGATCAAATTTTGGCAAAAAACAGCCATGATTAAAATTCAGTACAAAATGATTAATCGATATAAGATCATATCGAATATTGTGATCACTGATTCACTCTAATAGTAATCAACCAGTTTAGTCAGTAATTGTGACTCACATAAACAGCTACTACACAGATATCTGCACAGACTTTCAGATGACAAAACTAGAACATGAACTATTCAGTTAATTAAAATAGAGCATCAGCTATTCAGTTAATTCAACTAGAATATGAACTATTCAGTTAATTTATAATAAGCTGAATAGTTCATGTTCTTATCCTATTTTTTTAATTTTCACTCATTTGAATAATGAAAAGTAAGTATCGAACCTGATTTCGCATATTTTTAACTATTATTAGCCAATAACTTTTATAATAAAGCAGAAATTATAATTTTGGTCATATTGCTTATTATGAATTAACTGAATAGTTCATGTTCTAGTTGAATTAACTGAATAGTTCATGTTCTAGTTGTTGATTCATTCACATCCAATTATTTTTTTCTGAAGAAATCAAAAAAATCTAAAAAGTAAATGAAAACAATAGTTAAAAATGAATGTACTAAATTGATATAATTTTTGAATTGAGATAAATATTTCTTCAGAAATATCCTTTCTTCAATGGATTCTAGCAGTGGTAAACTGCAAACCAAGGAGAAGTCTTTAGAATATCAGAATGTTCAGAATAAGCAGAATCTCGAATAGCAAAAAGGAAGTTAGTTTTGCCAAAATATCTGTTCTATAAAATATTTTCCTTATTGTTTTGTTTGCAATTTTATAGTCATTTGACAAACAAATGAAAGATTCAAAGCAGTGAAGTATTCGAATTTGAGTTATTGAAGGAATTGATTCAAGTATTGTAAACCTGATTGAATTGGAATTCAGTAATTAAAATTAAATTTGTAAATCATTTCATTGCTAGCAAAAATATTTGTATTTCTCAGCTGGTGAAGAATGTCTATTCTAATTTGAATTTTTTTTAGTTCAGAATCTTTAATTAATTGAAAAAAGTGACTTTCATTCACTGATCAGGAAAGAATATTTTCTTAGTTTTATATTTTTTAACAAACAAATTCCATTCTGAAATTCTTTTCATTCTTTTCATTAATTAAAAAATATTCATTAAAATCAAAAAAACAAAGATAGTTTTCAGTTCAGTCAGTTCATGCATTACTGCAAAAATGCTTAAAAATTCAAATATTTAACAAATTGAGGATTAAATTTAAATTTGGTGAAATCTAAGAAATTGAAGTATTAAAACTAATCCATGTTGAGCGGGCAGAATTTTTCAATTTCGCATTTTGTGATGACACTCTAAATTAAGACAAATATGCATAACTTCTGATTCTTCAGAGTTAACTTAAGATAATTTGACAAATTCCAAACTCAAAACTGTTTCGCGGAACTTCACAATATTACATAAAAAATGCTCTCACGCAAATACTTTTGTAAAAATATTATTTTATTTGAAGGCAAAAAATTGATAAAAACTAGCAGAAACAATATTTATCAGTGAATATATGAATACGAATCTAACTAGTGACCTAAATCTTTTATATAAAGCCTAACCTTATATTAATCTTATATATACCTTATTATAATGACTCTAAACCTTATATATAAAGCATAATCTTTTATATATCAATATTAATATATCATTACTCACATATATTTACTTTCTAGACTTAAACCTATGCATATTGGTAGCAAATGAGCATGAACGAGTACCTTGATATTTTGTTAAAAAATGCGCAAGTTCCATAAAATGAAAAGAATTGTAAATAATTGAGTGATTTATCCTTTTAGTGAACAAATAAATAAATAAATAAATAAATAAATAAATAAATAAATAAATAAATAAATAAGTAAATAAATAAATAACTGAGTAAATAAATAAATAAGTAAATAAGTAAATAAATACGAAACGTTCTGAATGCTTAATCGAAATTTCACCTTTTAAGAGAATCACTGATTAACCGGTTTTGTTTCTTACGAAGGAATTCTGTGAAAGTAAAAAATTTTACTTGAAAACATCTTTTTGAATTAAACGAGAACACGAACAAAGAGAACTCCGAAATTTCAGCAAAGCTAATTAGGAAAGCATTTAGAAATTATGATGCAAATTTTGATAAATGATATTTCCCAGCAATAAATTAATTTTTAATTAGTGAAAGAAACAAATGCATAGCAAACGATAACAAACTTTGTACAAATAACCGTATCTAAAAAAGAATATTTAATTTATAAATAATACAAAAGTTTGTATGTGTTAACTTGCAGTCAGATTAATGACTGTAATTAATTTTATCAATTAGATTCTGCTAAATTAATGACTCTAATTTATGTTGTAAATGATTGAGAATAGAATTTTCATCAAGATATATTACAAAATCTCAAAACAAGAAATCACTCATTAATACTTCATGAAAATTCATCATTTAGAAATCTAAAATATAATAGCATCAAAAATTTCACTTGCCTAGATTAAAATATTTATTTAAAAAAATGCATTTATTAATAGAATAGAAATATTGATTAGTATATATGTATAGATCACAAATTTCTGTAACTAAAATTGATTCTAATGACAAAAATTTGAAGATTGAAAAATCAGAGGCATTCATTATTCGATCAATAATATCAATCATTGAATAAATCTTTCTTCTGCGATTGTTCTTCTCTGAAGGATTAACGTTCAAAGTGTTAGAAAATTTGAATGCGCAAATCGAGTTGAAGGCATTAATTAATGAGCTGTTTACATGCTAAATTCAACGAGTGATTAACAAAGTAATGAATAATACAACTTGCGCACATATATTTGTGGAAAATAATAACCGTATTGTATAGTAATAACAATTGGTTAAATTTATCTCAATACATAGTAGCACTTACTTCTTCGCTTCTTATATACATTGCTCAACAAGTCTATACATACATATATGTATATATATGTTTATCAACCTAATATTTTTCATCTTTTTATCATTGAATATAATTACAGCACGTGTTATGAGCTTTCAGAGTTGATAATTTTAAAGAGAATGAATGTTAGGCAATAATAATTATTATTAGCGCATGCGCGAAATATTATATTGCGCCACTAAACTTGCCGCTGCGTGCTTTCACTTTCTAGTTTTGCAAGCAAGCTGCACCTCTCAGCAAACTTTGCAATTTTCAATAAGGGTAAAAGCATAAGTTAAAAATTTATGAGTAAAAGGGACTTACTAAATTAGTACTTTTTCTTGAATAACCGTTAGAAATAGAAATATCCAAAACTTGCGCACTGTGATAAATACAGTACAGTAAAGTGATAACTGTACATGTGAAACAATATGATTGACAGAGCAAACTTACGCAATAATGTGATTATTAATTTTTGTGATAAAAGTATTTGCAAAAATATTTAGCTCAGATTGAATTTTTTTAGATAACTTTTTAGATAAGACACCACGTGACTTTGGTATCTAAGTCATGTAGGAAGTAAAGTTGTATCTTTAATAGTAGAAATTTCCAAATCTCACTTTTAAACATTTTTGAATAAGTTTGAGTATTAATTAAAATCAAAGTAGTAATTTAAATTTAGCTCAAAAATCATTAAGGTCAACAGCAATACTTGAAGCTTAACAAATTGAAAAAATCTGAAAGCATTTTAAACGCTGATAAGACAGATCAAACAATACAAAATATGAATAATGTTTTAGTTTTCTTCTTCATTAACGTGCTCAACAAGTCTTGATCAGCCACATTTTCATCAAATTTATTAGAAACTTGTTCCAAACCTGATAGATATTACTTGTTTGTGTCCTTTATTATAAATTCAAATTAAAATGCCATATACTGTTCAAAAAAACTTAAACAACAAACGAATTGAACGATCAAAAGAGGTCATGAATGGCGTAGCCGTTAAGATAATCACTAGCAGTGTAAATAATTGTGTGAAGATATATATGAAATAAAGCAAAATAATTACTTGAAATATAAAGCGAAAAAAATGCGGATTACGCAGAATGTATGAAAAGAAAATTGCGTGAAGTATTTTCAGTAAAGGATTTTGCTAGACATATTATTAATTTAATTTTGAACAAAAAACAGATTGACATAGATAGGTCAGCTGCGAAAATTATACATATGCTAATTTGCATAAAAATCTCACGAATGAAGCATTCAGTTAATACCACTGCAAAATCATACAAGAAGCCATTTTTCTAAAAGCTTTTCACTCGCCGAGAAATAGCTTTTTCTAATACTTTTGAATCTAACTTTCAAAGAGAATATGAACTCTTAAAAAGATAATTGCAAGAAATACAAGAATCAGTCATAAAAAAATTCAGAAAGCCTGAAGTCTGATTTAATGAACTTTATTGCTAGCAGCATTTGTTAAGCTTCAGGTATTGCAGTTGGCCTTAGTTATTTTTGAGCTAAATTTGAATTACTACCTTGATTTTAATTATTACTCAAACTTATTCAAAAATGTGATTTGGAGCTTATTTGAATAGCAGTTCATTCTATGCTATTTCCATTCATTTACATTCGCAAAAAATTTTATCCTATGCTACTTTTGTAATGAATTTAGATTCTTTCTTTAATGGTAATTACAATAAGCTTTTGTCAGACCTAAAAATGTAGCATTCTGAAAGCAGAAAAAAATGACTGTAATAGCACTTCAGCTAAAGTACTGTCATTTATTTCTGATCAAATAAAAATACTCAAAAAGCTTAAATAGTCGTCGCTTTTTACATATATTTTTGGCATTCAGTAATGAACTGAAATGTCTCTTCTGAAAAGCTAAAGCAAAAGCACCAATTTTGCTTCATTTTTCTGAAATGAAACTGATGATAGCAAGTTTTCAACTTGATTAATGCAACTGATTGACTAAACAAAATTGATATAAATCGAAATCAAGATACAACTTTTTATTGATAAATTACATTTTTACAATCACAGTCAAAACAAATCAATTATCCAATCGATCCAATGAACAGATCAAAACTTTTAACATTTTGTAAACTTTTGCAATCTGAAATACAAGTTTGAGATCAATTCTGGTTCATTAAATTAACAACCATTAAATTGCGCAAGAGAATACAGCTCACAGATTTAAGTCATCAGAAAGCTATGGCTTGAGGAGTATCTGACACTGCATAAATTAATAATAAGTATAAATTAAATATATAAATAGCGCCACGCTAACTCACTTCAATATTTGCATAAAATGGAAAATTAATATTTTGATTTTAAAAAGAACAAAAAAACCAAAATATTAATTTTCCATTTTATGCAAATATGTCTCACAAATAGATTTCAGGGTAATAATGAACAAATTAGCTTAAAATTTGTAGCATAAAAGTTTGTGTCAAATAAATTATTGGCATTGTTTGTTAATAGTCTTTCTGTGACGTGACAGTCTACTCACAGCCAATCTAAATTGGTTTCTGTTTCAAAAATTAATTTGAACATTTTATTAACTTCAGAGTTGTTATTTCATACGTGACCTTTGGTTACTCTTCTATCAAACTTTTACTTTTCTTATGACCTTAAAATCAAAGTACTCTTAGAAATGGTTATAATGTTAGAACTGTTATCAAACTCAGATAATAGAACTGACTGATTTTTCATGTTGATCTTCGTTAGTAATGTAGTGATGAGTACACGTGTTTTCACTGATATTTTAATTACGTGTATTCTATTGTGCTTACAATATATCTTCTAAATTAGTTATTATTAAAACCAAATGTATGGGAAATTACATTTTATGCCATATTTCAAGCATTAATGCATTTTTTCATATCACACATTTAAATTTACAACTGCAAAGAATATAAAAAGTATAAAGAATTAATTGCGAGAGAAACTATTTACACAATTATCGAAATTAAAAAATGACACAAAATTATTTTTTGAAATAGAAAATTAAAAAGACACATTTGATGAGTTAGTACTTATATCAATTATACTGCTACTGATAGTATTATAGCTGTCATAAGCAATTTTATCAGAGCAGTTTATCTGCTATTAGCATCTGCAGTCTTACAGTCTACAAGAAAGTAAGCAATAATAGAAAGTTTACAGAAGTGCTTTCTAGTTTTCTTACCACACTCTGATTATACACTATCATCATTATCATCTTGTAATTATCAATTATTATTCTTATTATTAATCACATTATACGTTATTTTCAGCCTAATACTATGACAGTTATAATGTTTTTAATATTTTAAAGCATAATTATATTCCTGTTATCAATTTTAGTACTATCATCAAGTATTATTACTATTACTTCATACATTGTTGTTATTTTAATTTATAATAATTATATAAATGTTTATATCGTTAGCAAACAATCGTGGCATTACAGTCTCTCAATATTAGAACATAGTTAATAATATTAACCATTAATGCATAATAAATAATATTGGTAGACAATAATGTGTATAATATTATTAGATAATTGTATTATATTAGCAAGTATTTTTGATAAAAATAATAGGTTATGTGTTTTGAAAAAGCGATGTTCTAAGTAGTAATGGTAAGTTCAAGCCAAACTTTGGAAGGAAACGAAGAAACAAAACTAGAAAACATTTTGCCTGATTTAAAGCATGGATCAGAAGCAAGTGATCAGCTAGATTTTTCCCATACTGGCTCACTGAAGTCAGACGATACTTGCTTACTAGTTAGTGCTACTAATTATTACCATTTTTGTATATTCTGAATAAATTTGCCTCACAACAAATTCATACATTTACAAAAGCAAATTAAGTTTGTTTGTTTTTAAGAAAATTTTTTTGTTACTTATATTAGATTTCATTTTGTAAGTCAATAAATTTACTCTATACATAACAGTAATTAGGAAAATTCACAATCAGTATCGTTACCATCAATTTCAACACATTATGACCCTACATGGTTACGCAAAGTTCACGCTTATGTAGCATCAACACGTGAAGAGGTGTTAGGTGATGATGATTTTAATCAAAATTTGAAACAAGCCATTCAAGCAATAAAGGCTGGTGTGCAACCTTTGCGTATTCGTGCTGGAAGTTCAGGCAAATTTATAATTCTGTAAAAGTTTCATTTACTCAACTATTTTGTAACTGAAAAGTAATTTGAGAATAGTAAAGGATAGTTTATTGATTACAATAAATTAATACCAGTATAATATGAATTTCATGCTGCAATAATCCTTTTGCTATTTTATCTTGAAGAAATACAAAAAATGCTTTGGCAGTTTTTTAAATATACTTTTTGATTATCATTTAAGTTGTCTGATTAAGTAATGACAGTACTATGAATAAAATGCATTAAATTATAGAATATTCAATTGACTTCAGGATTTTAAAATGTAATTTAGAATGAATTTATCGCTAAAATTTTAGGATCGTATTTTGTGCGAGATATCAATCAACAGAATATAGCAGTATTTAAGCCGAAGGATGAAGAACCATTTGCTCCTCAGAATCCTAAATGGCCAAAATATTTTCAACGAATGCTTTGTTTCTGTTGCTTTGGAAGGGCTTGTCTTATACCCAATAACGGTTACTTATCAGAAACAGGCGCTTCTCTTGTCGATGAAAAGTTGCAAGTAAGCTTCTGCCTTACTTTTGCTTATGAATTTTAATATTAAATATTAATTTAAAAAGTTCTGCTTGTTATTTTTATACGTTCAAAGTTTTAATTAACTGTAACTTTTGAAAAACGTACAACAAAATATGATATTAGTGCTAGGCACTTCATTTGCAGTACTGAATTATAAATATGTTTTACAAATTGAATTCATTCTCTCCGAATTAACTCATAATCAACTAGATTAAATTTTTACTCATATGATATAATTAGGTCATTCACGTGATCGCTTATATGATTAGTAGTTATATAACAGGTCACGTGAAATGATTAATTTCTTCTACCTTAGGAAGAGCAACTATTTTGAAGGGGAAAAATTGCTTTTGATTAATTAAAGGAAGTAGATAATTTCAACTTTCGATAAGAAAGTAAATTACAGCTGCACATTGTGCCGAAGACACGTGTTGTAAAGCTTGCCTCCCCAGCTTTCTACTACAGACGTAGAAGCCGTCGTATGAGCAAGGAATTGAAAGGCAAAGATGGCAGTTATCAGGTGACTGTTTGCCTTCAATCATTTGTAACTTTGTCCACTTTACTACTACAGAACTACAGTCTTATTGCCTATTACTAGACAGATATTACTGCAGTGTGAAAAAACATTAACTTTTAGTAGTTCATTTCGTTTGTTGCGTAAAAATATGAGTTTATGTCTGCAGATACGTTTGCTATACTTGTTAGCATATATGGCACCGTGAAGGATTGTTAGTATTTAAATAAATGAACAGACAAACGTCTTTATCATTTCACTACGCTAATTTGTGTAATTCATTTTTGGTAATATTTACGATTTAGTGCAAATTGCATTTATCACTGAGATACTAACAATTGAAGATGTACGTGAATGGCTACGTAAGTGCCTCTCAAATTGTGCCACAATGGAGTAAAGAAGGTGCTGCTTGTCCGTTAACAGAAAGTGAAATGGAACGCTTCAAGTATTTATTTCAGAAATTATGCGTTCTTGATTATATCATTCGTAATACCGATCGTCACATGGACAATTGGTTAATTAAGTAAGAATAATAACACACTTTTGAAAAATCAAAAATATAATACCGTATTAATTACTGTAAGTTTTAATTTTTTATCAAAATTTGCAATTTGAATTTCATTTTGTTATAAATTTTTTATTTGTAATTCATTTAATGACAATCATACAATTTAGTAAATTTCCGTACATTTTAAAGTAATTTTGTAGTCAAAATTAAATGAGAGTGAGAATAATTGTATTCAGATATGAACCAGGTCAAGTATTAGAACTTGCTGCAATCGATAATGGTTTGGCATTTCCGGTAAAACATCCCGAAACAGCTAGTCGTCTTAGACAATTTCCCTTTGCTTGGGCTCAACTTTCCTGGGCTAATCATGTTTGAATATTATTTTTTCTAAATACAAATGACAACGAGTAATTACATTTAAACTGTCAAATTTTGAACTGTCCAAACTATTGTAATCAATCAAATCAATACAGAATATATATCAGGGCATTTTATAGTAGTCAACCAAAATAATGTAACATGCATTGAATGGTACAAAAAAATACGATATTGATTACATGTTTATTAAAATAAAAACAAAATTAATTCAAAAATGTAATTGAAATAAAATTATGTCTTTGCTGCATTTTTTTAATATTTTCGATTAAATAAGAAAAGTTTTACTGCTAAATTTCAATTAAAAAAAAGTAATTTCAGAATTATTTTTCAAAAAATGACAAATTTTTGCCGATTGAATAATTCATTCATCTCTAACT